ACATGACTCTCCAGATAATAGACAGAAGACTGGGGGCCAAGATGATCCAGAGAAAAGAGAAAAGAACCTGGAGCATCCCCCCAGAGAAGAGGGTACAGAGAATTCAAGGAGACCTACAACATCCTCAACACATGAAGTGGGAAGTACAGCGACTACTAATAATAACGAGGATCAACAAGCAGAAGGAAATCATATTCAGCCTTCTTCACAGACGTTTGATGCATCTAATACAGAATCTCCGAATTCTCAGAACATCCACAACGGTACAACGGAAGAACCTCAATCGTCTGACAACAACCAAACTTCTCAAGGACAAACAGCTCAGTCTGAGAATGCTAATGCTGCTGCGAACCGTGCAGAGGTTGAATCAACAACGGACACTTCCAATTTTCCCAATAATGAGGAATCGACCACTACTACCACCACCACAACAACAACACTTCCTCCTGAACTCGCAAACAACAAGAAGGGTGATGCAGACAGCAGCAGCAGCAGTATCATCAGTTCTGTGTGGGTGCGTGTACCACTACTGATTGTGGTTACACTGGCCTGTATTCTTGTGTGCTAATGGTGGTGGTAGTGTGACTGAGGTCATCCTTTGTTTTCTTTTCTCTTTTTTTGCATACATCCCTACAGTGTAACTAATCTTCCATCTGTTGGGATTTCTCTTTTTTGTTTCTTAATGTTAATGTGTTTTGTGTGTGTTTTTACTCTCTCTGTTTATCCTATAATAATAATTATTATTGCTACTCCATTGTGTGTGTGTGTTCTTGGAGACTCTCTATGTGTGTGTGCACATGGGCTTGCACTATGATGATGATGAAATGTTTTTTGCAGTGGAAAAGGAAAAGAAAATAAAAATAACAGATGAATTTATATTTATAATTGCGTATACACATATATAGACTTATACCCATAGTTAGTGTATTTCTGTGTTTACTTGGTAAATTGGGCTAATGGTTAATATCTGTTTTGTGTTTGTTTTGCTGGGTCTCTGAGCCTTTTTTTGAGATATTTGTGAGTGTGTTCTTTTTTTTTTTTCTGTTTTTACTCTTACTGAGGTTATTGCGCTGTATTGCATTCTTTAAC